AGCGCAAGAGTGCCAGCGGCGAGGAGGGAGGGCGGGATGGAGGGGTCGCCATGATGCCACGGCATGATGCCGGCCCCGGAAACCTTCGGTAGACCGAAAACCTCGCGGGCTCCGCCATCGAAAGTGGGCTCACGCGGGGAGAGCCCGGCGTTTGGCAGGGTGAGGCTGCGCGGAACTCGGGCCTCTTCGCAGACGCCGATGGCCTGGGCCGCAAAGGGGTGGACGGTATGCAGGCGACAAGACTTGCACAAGCCTATCCTCCACACCGCGTTTGCCTCTCGGGTGTCGACGGCACGCGAGGGGGTTCTCCCGCCACCGGGGAGGAGCCACCCCGCCTCACTCGACTCAGAGCTGAGGGCGAGCAGGGAAGAGAGGCCGCGGCGGCCGTCGGGCGCCTGCAGGAGGCGCCGCGGCGGGTCGTCCCCCCGCACACGCTGTCGGGAGATGGCAAGTAGCACACTGCCGCGCAGGGGGGGGAAGGGAAGGCTGACTGCACGCAGCGCATGCTGGACACAGCGTCTCCCAGAAATGCCCGCGGCAGGCGTCAAGGAGGTCTTCCAGTGGTCCGGCATCGGAGGCGTCGTCCTGCCTGCTGTCGCCGCTGCTCGGTGCAACGAGGACCGCAGCGCACACGGCGCGCGCTGCCTCTTCGGCGGCGAGAGGAGAGTGCCCGATCGTCCCCAGACTATTTTCTGACTGTTTTTGAATTTTCCTCCGGTAGAGGGACAGGCCCGACTTAGCCCTAGGTCCCCCCAGGACTCTCAAGGAGGCCTCCACGGCCCCTGGAGCACCCCGCACGAGGCCCGGGGGGCCCAGGGGCTTCAGAATGGAGCGAACAGCTGGGGGCACCCAGAGCCAGGGGCATATTTGGAATTAGTGTCGGGCATGTCCTCCTGCAGGAGGATTTTAGAGGAAAAATGGAGAAGAGTCATGTTGTCCCCAGCTTGTTGTTTTGGCTAGTTTTGAGCACTCCTCCTGCAGAGGGCCATGCCCGACTTCACTTCAGCAGCCCCCGAAACACGGGCGAGGAGAGCCGCGTGGTCGCCTGGTCGCCGGGCGGCGTCGGCAAGGCCAGGAGGTGCGCCGGGGGGCCGCACGAGCAGCCGAGAACCGGCGACGGCAGGGCACTGCACACCCGCGGCTGGAGCGCGCCTGCCTCCCCGAGGCCCCACGGGGGGCAAGCCTCGAAGATCCCGGCGCAGCTTTTCGTCGGCGACGCGGCGGCGGTGCGCACCAGCGTCGGGCTCTTGGCGGCGCGCACAAGGGGGTGGAGGGAGGGGGGAGGGGCTTCTTAGAAGGAGGCTGCTTCTTAGATGGCGCCGGCCTTACATCTATAGATAAGGCCCGCGCCTTCCAAGAAGCAGGGGTGCTTCTAAGAAGCCCTCCCCCCTCCCCCCACCCCCCTCCGCGCGTGGCTGAGGCTTATCGGGGGCATCGAGAGGCAAGCTGTCCGCAACATCAATCCTGGCACACGGAGAGGAAACGGAGAGGGGAAGGAGCCGATCTGGGCCACAACGATGCCGGCGGGACCGCGGATCCGCTCCGGCAGAGTGGCGCGCGGCAGCCCCGCCCGAGTTCGGCGGAGCAGGTGCCCCAGGCCCCGAAGCACGAGAAGCACCAGTCTGCGCCGTACGAGTCTGGTGCAGGGGTACTGTATGCCACACTGGCGTGACAGGCCTGGCGAGCACAGCACCGGTGGCCAGCCCGCCGGCCGTCCGGCCGCCACCTGTTCTTGCCAGAGAGCCCGCTGCCGAGGAGCTCGAGGCAGCGGTGCACTGCCGTGAACGAGGCGGCGGCAGCCCGCTCTCCTGCCACCCCTGCCCGTGGCCCAGAGCGCGGCTGCGCTCTGCGCAGCGGCCGGCCAGCCACGCCGGAGGCGGCGCAGGCTGGCGCTCTGCCCGTGCCGCGGGGCAGAGCGCACGCCCGAGCGCGGGGCCTCGGGTGGGCGTGGAGGTTTCGGGGAGCGGAGGGCCTGCCGAATGCGCCGGGCGGCGCCAGCGAGGCTGAGCGGGCCGAGGCTGCGCTCAGCAGGGGGGAGCTGTGGGTCCAGGCTGTGATCCGCTGGCCCCGTCTCGCGGGCCTTCCAGTTGGCCAGGCGCGCGGAAGCTGCCCCGTGGCGGGGCGCCGTCCCCCGCGCCGCAGGAAACGCAGGCAGCGCCCAGGGAAGACCAACGGAAGACCAAACGGCGGAGGCGCCAAGCGGGGAGGCGTCCACCAGCGCCCGCCACCAGTCGAGATGGCTGCCTGGCACAAAGGCTGTGTTGAGGAAGCAGCGGCAAGAGTGGACGAAGGCGGTGACGTCCGACGCTTCCTCCAGTCCGAGACATCTACTCAAAAGCGCCAGAGCGAGTGGGGCGGAGAGGCCAGTGACGACCACGCCGCCCCGCAGCGTCGTCTTCAAGGCGAAGGGGGAGCTGGGCAACCGCAGCCACGAGCGGCGCGCTCACCCGAGGGAAGAGGACTTCTCGGCAGGAGGAGGACGCGATGCGAAGACCAGCCGCACACGAGGCCCATTGAAGGAAACTGGTGACCCGAAGTGTCTGGGTCGCACGCTGGAGGGACCAGGAAGCGAGGCTTCCGGTGGCTTCCCGGGTGCAGGCCTCGACCTCGGGCAGGTCGGCCCCGACGCCCACGGCCAAAGCAGACCCAAGCGCGGCGGTGGCTCCAGGTGGGACACACAGGGACATACGAGTACTAATGGTGTGTTCTCATCGGAGACGTGCGTCCGACCCGAACATTTCGTACAACCATCTTGCAGTGTACATGCATACATACATACATACATGCATGCATGCATGCATGCATGCATGCATGCATGCATGCATGCATGCATGCATACATACATACATACATACATACATACATACATACATACATACATACATACATACATACATACATACATACATACATACATACATACATACATACATACATACATGACATACATACATACATACATACATACGTGCGTGCATGCATGCATGCATGCATACATACATACATACATACATACATACATACATACATACATACATAAATGCAAACATACATACATACATACATACATACATACATACATACATACATACAGACATACATACATACATACATACATACATACATACATACATACGTACATACATACATACATACATACATACATACATACATACATACATGCATACATACATATTTATACACATACACACATACATCTATATATATATATTATGTATGTGCATCGCCTCCCGAGCAGCATGGCCGAAAAGCGACCGCCACGGAGCTTATACTTGAAGATTTCTCGGCGCGATTGTCGCCCCTGGGTGGGGCGACGCACACGCATTCGCCAGGGGCAGCGGCCAGGTGTGCAGTGGCCTTGGTGATGCTGGGCCTTCAATGGCCCCGCCTTTGACGGTTGCTTCCTCGGCAGTGAAAAGGTGACTCGAGGACAGCGCCGGCAGCGTCCGCCGCTGCGGCGCCAAAGAGCCTGCGGAAGCAATCGGGGAGCTGGAGGGGACGGAGTCTGCTACTCTGGATGGGGCAATAATCGCCCCCCCCCCCCTTGGATCCGCTGCAGGGGTTGGGCACGTGCTGTCGGAACGGGTGGAGGGGGGTCGGAAGAGGAGGAGGAGGAGGAGGAGGAGGAAGAGGGCGAGGAGGAAGAGAAGGAGGAGGAGGTGGAGGAAAGAGGGGGGATGGGCAAGCTCCGTCGGAAGGTTAGTTGCCCACCCCTCGATTAATATCCCACCCAGAGTAGGCCTCTCCGCGTCGGCAGCCTTGGGAATCCACACAAGGAGATCGACGGAAGGGCCGAGAACCACGTCGAGCAGCACGGGGAAGTCGGCGGCAACGCGAACGGCTTGGCCCAGGAGGCAGGCCACGAACCCGCAGCTGACGCGGTAAGCCTCGCAAGGCTCCCATCGACGCTGGAGGCGCTGCCGAAAGGTTGGAGGACAAGAGCAGAAACCCGTCGCCAGTCAGGGCGGGGCCGAGTGGGTAATCCTGGGCGCTGGCGGGAGAGGAAACAATCGTCCAGCAGCCGCAGGCCGCCGGTGGGTCTGTCTGGGGCGTTGCCCCAGATGCCAGCCCGACTGGCCCATAGAACCGCGTCTACATCCGCGGGTCGGGTGGCCCAGTTGCCGTGGTCCTCCCAGACCCCCCGGACAGCGACGGTTTTGCAGAACAGGTCGCGCCCTGCCCAGTGCACGGACTGGAGCTGGGGCTCCCCCGGCGCTTGCGCCGCGTGGACCAAGCGTGAGCGCAGCTGCATCGTGCTGCACCCGCTCAGCCCGCGAACGGTTGAGCCAGCCCGCCCTGAGATCCGACGCTGCAAAAGAGTGCAACGTCGCAGGGAAGCGCGACCGGCCCGACGCTGCAAAAAAAAATTGCAACAGCGCAGAGAATCGCGACTGGACCCCGGGCCCCTCACCTTTCTGCGTCGGTTTTCGAGCCAGGTCTAGAAAAACCGCCCAGCTCGAAAAAACTGGGTCGCCAGGATCTCCAGGCTGGGCGCGCAGCCAGTCCCGGAGCGGGCCGTGGGGCACGGTCGGCTCGGCCGCCGACGTCGCGCGGCCGAGGGCCGCGGCAGGGGCCGACTCGTCGCGGCGTCTGCCCCCAAAGCGCGGACCAAGAGAGCAGCATCGAGCCGAGCGCCGCCCGCCCATTGTTGAGGAGGGCGGGAAAGACGGGTTTCCAGGAGGAAGTAAGCGGAGCATCCGCACCCAGATCCTCGGGCCCTGGGTGCAGACCGAGGTCGTCGGGCCCCGCAGGGAGCTCGGGAGCCAGCACTCTGGGGGGAGCCGGGGGAGTCCATCGAGGAAGACTGACCTCGGAGAGGTCGAGCTGATGTCGACCTGAGGTGATGCAACGTTTCAGGAGGAAGCTTTTCAAAACACACACACACACACGCAAACTGCAACAGCGCATAAGCGCGATGACTGGTCTGCACGTGGGAACTTGGACCACCCGCCCCTGCCTCCCATCGAAGAGAGACGGTCCTGGCCACCTCCGGATGGCATGCCATCTGCGGCACCGGCCGCACACCCAGCCGATGGTTGGCGCCAGACGCCTCGGCGTGACATCTCCGATCGGAGGGGTCGGGCGGCTCGTCTGGCACGTGGCTTCGCAGGGGTCGCGGCGACCAAGAGGGGGGGGCGTTCAAGAGGGGGCGTCAAAGAGGGGGGCCACGAGCGCGGCCCAGGGGAGGGCCAAGTGACGTGTTGACGTGAGGAGGGGGGCCATGAAATACTGGGAGATATCACGGCCCTGGCCATGAGATCCACCACCCTCAGTCATCACCCCCATCCCGGACGCCCCCGAGCCAGGGAAGGGGGGCGACGCATGCAAACACCGCCACTGGTGGAGCTCCCTATGGGGCCCCGAAACGTGCGAGGGGTGTACAGACATGGGTGCGGGCGGCCGCATGCGGACACCGCCACTGGGGCTTTCGGTGGAGCTCCCCACGCGGCCACGAAACGTGTGACGGGCTTGGCGAAATGGGCGGGGCGGCCGCGTGGGGAAACCGCCGCTGGGGCCTTCATTGAAGCTCCCTATGGGGCCACGACAAGTGTGAGGGGTGTGCCGAAATTGGTGCGGGCGGCCACAAGTGGACACCGCCACTGGGCCTTCGGTGGAACCCCCCATGGGACCACGACAAGTGTGAGGGGTGTGCCGACATGGGTGCGGATGGCCGCATGTGGACACCGCCACTGGGGCTTCGGTGGATCTCCCGATGGGGCCACACGAAACGTGTGTGATGGGTATGTCGAAACGGGTAATGCGGCCACATGTGGACACCGCCCCTGGGGCCTTCACTGGAGCTCCCTATGTGGCCACGTGAGAGATGTGCGAAATATGTGGGGCGGTCGCATGTGGACATTGCCTCTAGGGCCTTCGGTTGAGCTCCCTATGGGGCCACGAAAATTCTGAGGGGTCTGCCGCAGAAATGGGTGGGGCGGTCGCATGTGGACATGGCCACTGGGGTCGCGGACCGTACGCCCGGGGAGTCCTGACTGTGATCGCCACACGGATGCTCGAAACGAACATGTTTTTATGAATGAAGGATAATGGAAGAGGCGGGGAGTGAAGAAGCAAGGCTGGGCTTCCGATTGAGTTCGAGGCGGCTGCTTGCTGCCAGCCAGGGCTGGAGAAGCCATGGAAAAGTGGCCACGGCCCAAAAGGTGTAAGGGCCTGCCCTTGCCACTCTCTCCGATTCCCCTGTCGGACCGCTCTTGGACCGCCATTCCAGCCTCACAGAGCAGGGTCGGTAGGTTTCAAATCGACAAAGCAGATCGAACCAGAATGCGCGTCGGAAGTCGGCCTGCCTCGGCACGGGGTCGAGGTCGAACCGATCGGCCGCGCCAGCATGCACGACGGCGCCATGAGAGCATCGGGCCGCATCGCCCCAAGAGCATGGAAATCTGATCGGATCGAGCCGGGCTACATCGTAATCGGCTCGGATCAGTCAGATCTGCATGGGCCCTGCTCGGGGACGCCCAGGCCGGCGCGGTCCAGGCCGGCGCTTGCCGAGGCGGCGACCGACGGCGGGGGCACAGGGGCAAACCTACCTCAGGAGACCTTGGCGCGGAGGCCTCCAAGCACGAGGGCGGCGCCCCTGGCCGAAGAGGCCCCTGGGGGGAGGCGGAGAGGGGGACTTTGGGGGGGCGAGGGCGGTGGCGAGAAGGGGGACGGGGGAGGAGAAGGAGGAGGAGGAGGAGGAGGAGGAGGAGGAGGAGGAGGAGGAGGGGGAGGAGGAAGAGGAGGAGGAGGAGGAGGAGGACCAGTGCAAACTCAAGACAAATCAACGATGTTGGAATACACCCTGCCTCAAAGCTCCCTCTTTCTAGCCCCCTTATACAGATTCAGTTCCACTGAGGGAAGTGGCATGTTGGGAGACACCCGTTTGAAGAACCTGAAGCATGCCAGAAGATCATCATCGGGACTACAACGCCACGAATCAATTTGACTGTGGCGTCTTGACAATCCTGAACCGTGCCAGAAACACCATTCCTCGTACTTCCACACGGAAAATCAAAGTAACTGTTACGTCCTGACAATCCTGAATCTTTCCCAAACGCTATGTCTGCTACGTTGTCAATGAGAAACCGTGAAACTGTTGCAAATGTTTAAGACGAGTGTGCGCGGCGCTTAGGCGAGAGCCACATTTTGAAAAGGAGCCGCCCAAAAACGCGTGAGCCTCTTGCAGTTATTTACGAAGAGTGTGCGCGGCGCTAAAGCGAGAGTCACATTTTGAAAAGGAATCGCTCAGAACGCGTACAACTCTTGCAAATGTTGACGACGAGTGTGCGCGGCGCTAAGGCGCGAGGCACATCCTGAAACCAGGAAATCAGCCCGCCCTGACCCGCGAAACTCTTGCAAATGTTAGAAACGTATGAGCGCGGCGCTGAGGCGAGAGCCGCATTCTGAAAACGGCCAACCCTCAACTCGTGAAACTCTGGCAAGTGTTATTCAACGACTTTGCCTGGCGCTAAGGCGAAATTCACTTTTCGAAAACGGCCCGCCATCAGCCCGTGAAGCCTTTGCAAATGTTTAAGACGAATGTGCGCGGCGCCGAGGCAAGAGACATATCTTGAAATCCACCCGCCGTCCATCTGCGCAACTCTTGCCAATTTCTAAGACTCTAAGCTTCAGGACCGTACATCGTCAGGAAGGCTCAGGCGAAACGCCCGGCCCACCCTTCCGACTGGCCTCGGGGTGAGACAGGGAGGAGCTATGCAGAAGGAAAAGGAATGGAGGAGGAGAGGAGGAGGAGGAGGAGGATGAGGAGGAGGAGAAGGAGGAGAACGACGACGACGACGACGACGCATTCCCTCCTCATGTCTCTCTCCGTGGCGTCCTGAGTGCAGTGGAGCTTGCTCCCGGCAAGCCCGGAGGAGGGAGTAGGGAGGTCGGACGGCGGAGGGCGGAGGAGTAGCGAAAAACAAAAGTACCCTCGGAGAGGGCACCGTCCAGCCATCACTCGGTCAGATTGCCACTAGCCTTGCCGCCTGCCGCCGTGCATGCTGCTCGCAGGCATGCTCAAAGCGGCATCGCCCCGCGAGCCCATCGATTCCAAGACATCTTAACGTTGGCCTTGCTTCCACCTGCGTGTTACTGCCGCGATGCCGTGCGGCTCGCACTGACCTTTGGACTGAAGGGAGGGGGGTGCAGGTGAGGAAAGACCTGGCAGGGCTGGTGGAGGAGCCACCGTGTACTTCCCTGCCACCGGCGCACTACCAACGCTCTCGCCCATGCGGGCTTCTCCACTTTTCCGTTCTCTTCGCGCCTCCTGCGCCGATCAGTCTACACCGAGGTGATCGTGGGGCTTGCTTCCTGTGTTCGCAGGGCTCTCTGAGTGAAGTGTTGCAGGTAGCGTTCAGACGCAGCGCCTCATCAGGCAGTGTCGGGGGAGCGTACAAAGGGGGGGGCAAGGGGAAAGAGGAAGACGGGGAGGGGAGGGGAGGGGAGGACGAGCAGGAAGGGCCCCCCTGGGCAGAGCGAGCCGCGGCCCACCTCGGCCACGGAACAGGGCAGGGCGGGACGGCGGCCCCAGGCCGACGGCAGGGCTCGCGTCGTGACGGCTTCGGCAGTGGTCCCCGACACCACGCGGGTCCCTGGGGAGATCGGCGGCTTCTCGATCGCCAGCTCGTTCCGCATTCTGGACCACTGGCGGCGCCCAGCCTGGAGTGCCCGCGCTGGGGAAGACGCCGCGCCGACGCGACGCGAGCCTGCCGTGCAGGCCTCCTGTGCCCCCACACTGCGAAGGTCGCTCTTTCCGGGGTGCCTACCCCGGGCGTCGAGCTCGCAGCCACTGGCACCGCCCCGACCCGTTTGGGCTACGCGGCAGCGACGGCAAGGCCAACCCGCCAGGGAGAAGCGGAACGCGAGGAGCCAACAGAGCGGGAACGAGCCAGAGGGGGAGGAGGGGGGAGGTCTTGTGGACCACAGCGTCTGCTGGTCCACGAACGGGTGCGCAGAATACATGTTATTGCTCATGTTCGCTCAATTCAGACAAAACCTCCGACTCGATGATGTCCTCCAGGGCCAGCTCGACCACCTCTCGAGGTAGTGGCTGGATCACTCGGACCCTCTCCCGAAGGCCCAGGGCAGCCCTCAGGAGCGGATCGATGGACAGGATCAGGCGCGTATCCCAGAATCTATCCCGAGAGGCCAAGCTCCTACCGCCTCGGTGGTTCCGAGGTCGAGGCATGAGGGGAGAGAGAGAGAGAGGAAATACTTTTCCTCGCGTTTTGAGCCACAGTGTTTCCGGCGCACTGTTTGCGGAGTCTGATGTCCAGGAGGCGGAGTCGCTCCACCTGGACACCAAAATCCGTGGGAGGCGGGCGAAGGTCGCACCGGCCTCCCAATTGCTCCCATCACTCCATGCCTCTCAGTCCAGTCTCAGTCCTGCGTGTGCTGACGGGCGTCCAGGCTGTTACGCCCAGAACTGCACGGAAACAATTCACTCAAAATGGTCCCGCTGGGATGTCTGGGGCACCATCGGCCCACGGGGCCAGGGGAAAAAACGCAACATGGTATCACGGAGCCAGACCAGGGGAAAAACACAACATTTCATCACACGGGCCTGTTCTCCTAAGCACTGGCGAAAAGCCGGTCTGAAGTACCATTTCTGTGCGTGCATCTGTGGAGCTAACCAACTCATGCTGTCAAGTTCGGTCGTGCGGAGCTTCCGCAGTGCTACTGGGCTCGTCGTGCTCGCCGTCAACCTGCGACCACAAGGATCACATTGGAGCGGCAGGCATCTGTCCGCGCCGCGTGGCCGATAGCCTCCTTACCCGGTGCTACTCCCCACACACGGAGAAGGGGGGAAGGGAAGGGGGAGGAGGGGGAGAAGGAGACCGCCCCTCCCCCCTTCTCCCCGCAAACCCCAACCTCCCGCCTGCCAACTCCTCCTGGCCATGCCACGATCCCAGCCCCTCCTCCTCCTCCTCCTCCTCCTCCTCCTCCACCTCTTCCGCCTCGTCCTCCTCCTCCTCCTCCTCCTCCTCCTCCTCCTCTCTTCCTCCTCCTCCTCCCCCTCCTCCTCCTCCTCATCGTCATCATCATGCT